GTAATGCCAGCAGTGTCTGAAGGTGGGTGAAACAGTTTAAGCACGGAAAAACGGACATCGCCGATGGGCCGTGTTGCGGTTGACCATGAACTGCTGCAACTCTGCGCAACAAGCAGAAAGTCGAGCTCATCAAACAAGAACGAAAGAGTTTGCGAGACCTCACACTGCACGCCTGACCTTGTAGAGAATTCAAAAGAACGGTTGGGAACTGTTCTCCCATCCACCTTATAGTCCGTATTTGGCCCCCTCATTCTACCACTTGTTCGGACCTTGAAAGATCACCTGAGAGGTCAACACTACGAGATTGACGAGGCAGCCCAGGAAGCCATGTGAAGCTGGTTGCGAGAAGCTGGAACAGACTTCTTCAAGATTCTGCAACGCTGGCAGAAATGCTTAAATCGGGATGGTAATTTTGTATAAATGTAATAAAAATGCCGTTATTTTGCTGACATCATTTGTTTTCGTATGTACACCTTCGTTTCATTCTAGGAAAAAGAGCTCATTACCTTCAGTAGGGGCCCGTGTTTTGGAATGATACAAGTAAGAGATCAAGTCATACATGACTGAGATAAGGCACAAAATGTGGTCTACAAGATCAGATTGCAAGTGACATTATTTATTGATTGAATCCTTTTAAGTGTCACCATTACTGCAGAATTATAAATTTAAATTTACAATGCCAGTCATAAAACTAAACAAGTGAATGCATATTGTATCTGGCTGGGTGATGCCACACAGAGATTCCCCAACCAGTCACTCCCACAAACAGAAACATCAGTAGGTGTTTATATAATGTGCCTGTTCCTGCTGTCCAGTTTTAATCAAACTTGGAATGTGCTCACAAAGTTTAATAAACTCCCCTATATCAAATTTCATGATAATCCATTTATCACTTCTCAAGTTGTTGCATGTGGAGGGACAGACATGGCATATCTAACAAACAATTTTTCTTTTTAGTTGTAATCATGTCAAAAATTTCTTTTGCTTTAAGTATGTGTTACAATACATTTATTATGTACACTTTAATTACAGTAATTGTAAAATTCATGGATCCTCAGACTCCATACTGCATAATGATTCAACTCTAACTCCAGCATCATCCTCCCAACGGTTCCATGACAAAACCGTACAAGACAAAACCGCACACGAAAATTGCGCACAGAAAGCTCACTGTCACTAATTTTCGTTCATAAACATATTCTTTGGTCATGTCAATAATAACAGTGCATCAATAACATATTTTGGGGCAATCAGCCACGTTAACGCGGCTGAATGCCCGAGAAGATTTTATTGAATTTGATTCCGAAACGTCGGTGTACTACGGTAACCAGTTAACGCTTCCGGTTACTTATAGTATTGTGAATATGGGCATTTGTCAGTGTGAGCATTTGTCCGTGTGAGCATTTGTCCATGTGAGTAATTTTCGTGTGAGCATTTATGACAGTGAGCTTCTTTCTGTGCGCAATTTTCGTGTGTGGTTTTGTCGTGTACGGTTTTGTCTGGTCACCCCTCCCAACATAAGAATTTACTTGACAATCAGATAAAACTTCTCATACAGTTGAGACGATGCCTCAATATGCAGTATTTCGGATGATTGGAGAGCACTACATTTTTAAATAAGGCCTATCAATGCTAGGCTGTAGTGGCAAGAAACATACGCAAGAATGGGGTTATGATCAAACTTTCATTTAATCAAACTGCTTGTAAGTGCAAGTTCATTTTATAATCGGTTGAGTACTATTCAACTTAAAGAGTACAGAATCGCAGATGGTGCTTGACAGGCTGATAAAGAAAGATTTCCAGGGATGCTTCCAGGCTTGGCAGTGGCGCTGGGATCGTTGTGTTCACTCCCAGGGGAACTACTTCGAGGGTAATGGATGAATTTAATACCTGAGATAAGTGTACGGGTTTTTATAGGCGCAGTCTGGAAACTTTCCGATCGCACCTCGTATAGCATACATGTCAGACTCAGGTTTTTTTAATATCCAAATACAAAAAAGAGTAATGCCCCAGTAAAACTGTTGGTCTAATTATGCTAGAACTTTGCAAATAAATATGTATCATTGGTAGAATTTCTGACACGATGAATGAATTAGTGATTAAGCCTCATTTTGCCACTTCTCCTAAAACCCACAATCAAATGATAAGACAGTCTGCCAGAAGTTTTCTAGCATTTTCAGAGGTGTTTGCTGCCTCCATCACAGTACAGTCACCTCTGAAATGCTGGTAACATCTACTAGACCAGCGTTCGCAACCTACGGTACATGAGCCAATGTTAGGCGGTATGCAAACTAAGCAAGAAAATCAAAAGATAATATTAACATAAATAAGTTCTCCCTGAACGCATTTGGTTAGTGGTACATTTAATGTGTTAAATTAGAATTAGTAAAATTCCAGCAAAAAAGGGTGAGAACTATACAGTGGAACATTCCAGAAGACAAGTCATCTTTATATATGCCACCATGAGAACCTTAAATCTCACAAAATGAGAGACAGAGTACTGAAAAAATAGGAGGAAGCAGCAAGACAGTTAAAAGACAAAGCCAATATATTACATAAGCAAGGATGAAAAACGTCACGTCACAAACACATTTTAGAAAATAGAGAAACAGACTATGCGAGAATGAAATTTCAACGTGCCTTGGTCTTTGATTTTTGACCATCTGTGTAATTATATATGAGATAACTGTTTCTTAGAAACAATGTCAGGACCATGCACTCTTGGAATGAGGCTCAAGTCAACTGTAGAGACAATCACAGATTCACAGATATGAAATGAAATTGATTATTACCTGCAGGCGGGGATAGCCAAGGTGTGGCTCTTCCTTGATGTGCTGCGTGTCACGGAACACCACAGCCCTGATCACCCCCCGGATGTGGTCCTCTGGCCATGACCCCAACAGGATCCTCTGTGGCCTACCACGTCCCTTGGGTCGCAGGTCTGCAATCATCACACGCGGCAGCAAATTATTCTCAGTTTTAAGGTAACTGATACTTCATGAGGGGAAAATTTTGTTTTTGAAGATTTATATGTTGGTGACACTGTGATTCTCTCCATCAGATTTTTCCTGCTGTATTTTCAGTGAATTTGCTCGTGGGTTTAAAAGTATGAATGGCATCTTTTTTATATAGACAGGTACCATCTATCTATGATAGAACTTTACTACAAAGGCTTTGAAGTTTTATGCTATCACAAGCATGTATAACCACCAGAGTATCAACATTAATCGTGGCTGATAATAGCTGAGAGTGCAGAATTCGGTTCTTGAAGGAATGACATTTTCAGAAATGAGTAATTTGTGACAGATGGTGGATTAATTTTCTAGAAGTGGGAATTCTGAAGAGTTGGTTGTGGAAACAAAACTGAAACTACAAAGTGAACTTTGTACTGATGGGAAGACACTGACAACATTACTTCTTGTGAAGATGACATTGCTATATCCTAATTGAGAAAAGTGCCATGCAGAATTGTCCCTGACTGGCTACAAGTTTGGAGATCAACATATGATCAATGCCTCAACAGCAGGTTATAAGCAATGTAATTATTCAAATAAATGATCTGATGGTGCTCAGATACATTAAGAACTTGCCTGTTTCTTGTAGAACAAGTGTACAAATGCAATTTGTGCCCTTTCCCCCACATCACACAAATGAAACTAACTGTGATTACCTGTATCTGTGTGTATTTAACTTCCTTACTCTGTGACCAGTACACCTATTGCATTGAAATTCAAGTGTGTTTCCATACATACAGCACGAATAGTATTACCGACTCAAAGAAAACGTACAGAAAACACTCATGGAAGAGTCCACCAGCCCATCAAACATAAAAACACTAGTGGATCTGTAACTATTCTACCAGAATTCTCAATATTTTACCTGTTACTGTAAGCAGTTCATTTTTGGTAATGCTTCCATTTTCAAATCAATGCCTCTTCCAGTACCAGGTTACTTTACAAACTGATTTGCTCAACCCACATAACTCAACAAACACCCTGAGACACTACAGGTGGTTTCTTACCTGAATAGGATTTATTTCTTAACACAGAAGCTGTTGTACAGTATTCCTATAACTTAATATTCCAGGGAGTTGTCTGTATAGCTGATGGAAATAAAATGGCATAGTGCTATATTGACTTTATTAAAATGCCTAGTGGCACAACTGTATTCCCACGGATATTGGCAGATGGCGCTTTACCAGGGGATTCCTTTTTGAATTATATAGGCAATTTTTGTTCCAAATCTTTCTTGGTTGCAATGTAAGGGGTGCTGTAACAGGGTTTGATTGTATTTAATGTATGTAATGTTTGACTACTGAATTATTTTTACTTAATTACTTACTACCAAGTTCTATAAATGAATAGACGTGAAATATCTTATCTTTTCTGTTACTGCAGTGATGACTCATTTATGCATTAAACAATGTCTATCAAAGAAACAGCAGTGGACATAGATTGATTTCTTGGAATTAAAAACTGCATATGGTCTCCTAGGAACTATATTAGACATACATTCAAGCAAACAACAGTTATCAATGCTGTGCAAAATACTTCTGTACAAATTCCTAGGCATATATATAATTGCAGTGGAGCACCTATTAATTCTTGGAAGCTGATGCTCACCTAAACAATATTTAAAGAATAAGTTACTACTGCAAGGAAACACAACACTTCTCCTCTACAAAGATCAATTGGTTAATGATGTTTAAAGAAATAATCACATTTTATCCATATCCAGAGAATCAAACTAAATACGCGAATATACTGGGAACGACCTGTTCTTCAAGTGCCTGAGCACTGCGGGTCCCAACTTTTCGTTGGCTTGATCTATAGACATTCGGTAGGACTCCTTGGATGAGGGATTGGCCCATCGCATGGCCTCTACCTGTACACAGGACGGCACAACACAGAAAAACGCAGACAAATATCCATGGCTTGAGTGGGATTCGAACCCACAGTCTTAGCGACCAAGCGGCAGAAGGCCCACGCCTCAGACCGCGCGGCCACTGCGGACCCCACGTGAATATACACTGTGGGCAAACTGCAGTGTTACAGATTGCCAAAGCAGGTCCAGCTGCACAAAGTAATGGGAACTGTTCATAAAATTTTCATGAAATTTGATACTGAAGAGTTTTTAAGATGACTATATAAGAAGTTATGACACAATCTATATTTAAAACATTACAGTGTACCCAACAGAATTATGGTGTTCATTTTAGTTATATGGTAGTTACCAGGACTTCACATCAATTGGGCACAGGGGTCAGGGGTATCAGTAAACGGAAACCTGACCGAAACAGGACACTTCTATGCAATTTTAGATACTTGAGCATGAGAGGTTCAAACCCATAACTCTTCCTACTGTAGATACCCACTGTTCAGTATGGCTTCACACTCCAAGGCTCTGATATAATATACAAACTGAAAATTACCTGCACCGCCATCAGCTGAAGGTCCCAACATGTTGTGCACACGATTGGCATACAACACAAACGTGGGGTATGGGATGTCATATTTCCGAGCAGCCTGGGACAAGGACAGTCCTTCTTTCAGCACAGAGAAGATTGCTTCAGCCATGGTCTCAGGTCGCCAAGACTTGAGCGGCCCACGTTCACGGAACCGCAGATTATGCACCAGGCTCTGGTTCGTGTTCCAACATTTCTGCCACATTGACTGAAGCTGGTACTGGTAGCTGTCTGCTGGAAGATGGGAATCAGAACAACAGAGAACAACAGTCAGTGGACAGTAATATAATCAACACATTCATAAGCAATGAACTGTATTATGTAATCTGATGTTCATCACTGCATCAACAAACCACATAAAATACACAAACAGCAAGAAACTAACAAGTTGAAATTTTTATGCCAAGACAGCAAATCCATGTACTAAAGGCACAAAGGCCTATTGTACAAGCAATAATCTCAGGCATCACATAAATGTCATTGTTATTTTGTGTGTGTGGGTTGAGAGTAGGTGGGTATGTTGTCTGATTCCAACAGCCTTATTTTATTTTAAGGAGAGTTTATATAATATTTCTATATCGTACAACAGTTATGGCATATTCAAATACTGACGTCTGTATGAATATGTATCTCACAGGCTCAAGTTCAAAATGAACTTGAATCTAATGTCAGAAACATGAATTTAAGGCACAGGAAGCATTTTGAATTAGTTATATCTAACTAAAGGACTTCTTAATTATATTTCAATCACATGCATTTACTTACTGAAATATGTATTATGAAACAGGAATTAACAAAACAGATACATATTCATGTTAGCAATATAACATTCTGCATGAAACTCAAATTATCTTAGTACAAAAGTATTAACAGTAGTACTGGAATGCACACATAAAAAGGAGCAAAACAAAATAAGGTAATAAATGAGACAATGTTGCATGTTGCAAAAGAGAAACATATTGAATGGAATGGAATGGTTGAATCCTGAGGATTGAGAACACAGTTATGAAAAATTAAGTTATATTCAAATCAGGAGGGGGGGGGGGAGATGGAGCAAGGAGTACAGAAAGAAATTAGAAATTTACAGGCCACTTGAATGTTTTGAAAATAAGGAGGTGTATATACTTAATAAAGGTCATCCATCCCTAGCTAGATGAATCCAATCCACACTCTCCCATTCTAATTCCCTAATATAAAAGTTAATACTATCCTTCCTAGCTCTTCCTTTCACACTTTCAAACCAAAAATTTTGATAAAGAATTTCTCATTCAACCACTATTGTGAAAAGAAAACAGGCTCAATGTTAAATTAAAATATTTAATTATCAATATTTGCAATAAAACAGCATATGTCCTTAGTAAATGTTATGTGACAGTCATCAGTGTATTGCTAACAGTGCCATAAACTCTTCTTAGTGGAAACAAAATCAAATTCATACAAACATTTACACCTCCCAATATTTAATACTGTAACCAATTTCCCCAACCACTCATTACACTATAGTTATTTGGAATGGGGTGAATACTGAGGGTTGTTTCATAATGTTACACCTTACACTATGCCTCAACACTGGAGTGGTTTATTTGAAATATTAATATTACAACCACATTATAAACATCAACTGGGCATATTAACTTTAGAATGGAATGAAAGTTTTTTTAAAAAAAAAACTGAACTGAATGTAAAATAGTGATAGTTGTCAAGTCATGAGAATAACAATCTACCAAGTCTCAATATCATGCTCAAAGAAAACTCTATACATCCCAAGACTGTAATGTGAAACTTAGGCATACGAGATAATGAATCCTGAATGATTAATGCATTTCAAGGATATAATAAAATCCTTAATACTGCCAAGGAAATTTTGTGTTGTGACATGAACAAGACACAAGTTATTATTCCTATCTTTGACATGCTACACTCAATAAAACTCTTTCTCTGATTAATCAGAATGACATAATGACCAAAATGTTTATTACACTCCATTCGCAGATTGAAATGAGAATTATTCAGTTTATATAAAATGAAGTTCAATATTTCTGATATCTGCTGGCATTTAATATCTACACCCATAAAAGCAACAATGCAGTATGCGACAGTTGGGACTGATCACTGAAACAGTGGGTATTTCCTGAAAAAACACCACGAGCCTATGATTAAATTTTTCCCCGCCAGCAAAAACATTACAAATGCCCGAGATACAAGGAAAAAGATGAAGCATATACCCAGATGTTATAGTTTGATAAAAATTTTAACCTTCAAGCCATTTCACTGTTTATTTCCATTCTGTATGAATGAATGCAACACTGCATTCTGTAATAAAAGCATCTTTGTCCACACTTAATTCTCTTAACTGTCAATAATGTTTTGTTGCTTTTCTGTTATTACAACTACAATCCTAACTTATGTAGCAAGTAACAAGACTATTTTGTGCAAATTCTCAGCAGTTTTTATCTACAAAGAACAACTATGTTCCAAATAAAACAACTGTAATATCTTACTTCCTTTTCATGACAAATATGATGTGTAAACTGTGCACCAAAAAGTATTAACTTAATCAAATAAAGTGTTACAATCATTCTTGTTCATTCCTGCAATAAAACTTGCATTTCTGCATCTATTTGGAACCCCTCTACTACACACCAAATAGTGAAGACATAATTATGCTTCTGGATTTCATTGTAGTATAGTAACCCCAATCATCACAATTTTTCAAGTTACTTCCCTTGAAATGGATAAATCATCTATCAAAAAAGGTAAAACTTCAGTTATGGAAGACATTAAATTTTCCATTAAGTTAACAAACCTGTACATTATTTACATATTGAGCAAGTGGAAGTATATGGGCTGTGGTTACTTATGAGGCACAGTAGATTCTCCATGCATTCCAATTTCTTTTCTCCAGACACATACAAAATTATTATACTAAATACTCTTCTTAAAAAAACTATCTGATATCTTAAATAACTAATGTGATGAAGATTTCTGTCTTCTGGGTTGTTGCGCTGTATAGTATTGTAGATGTTTTCCAACGTTTCAGAGGTCATACTGCCTCCGTCATCAGGGCGATTCATCGCAGTATGACCTCTGAAACGTTGGAAAACAGTTACAATACTATAATGCGCAACAACCCAGAAGACAGAAATCTTCATACTCACCGCTGTAAAAACCTCAAATCTTACAACTAATGTGATGTCATTACATCAACAACACTTGAGAGAAATTCCATTGCGAGAAGTCCGCTATCTCTTTCAACACATCAGTACATGCCAATCAGTCTCTTAAATAGCATGGCGTGTTTTTTCTTATGCACTTCTGTAGTTTGTGTATGAGACTGTGCACTGTGCATGCTAACTAAACACACATTAGTTATGAAAAACTAAATGTAACATTAGCTTTATAAATGAAATTATACACATAAACAGGCAAAAGCTTCATAATGCAGTTAAAATAAAAATATTACATCAATTCTGTTGTACACCTACAGAAAAACTGAAATTAAAGCAGAATCTAATGCAAACATTCATGCAATCATTCTTTTTTCCTGAGAATGAAGGGTCCTTATCTTCAAGCATATGCAAGTGAGGACATAAAAATTAGTTCCAAAGCAGTAGTAACTCAGCTAGCTTTCTGAAAGGACTTCACTGCCTAAGATCCAGAGACCAAGGTCTGAGATACACAACTAGAACATATAGCTTTGTGACTTGATAGAAACTGTTTATTATAAAAAGAATTAATAAATGTAGGGTAATTTGATTTATGTTACATTTTGGGGTGGGGTTGAGGTGTGGGAAGCATCTATTTCAACATGAAGCCAAGTCATTCATGAAGTTTTGGTAAATGCCAATCACAGTAGATCAAGGATGATTCCCACTTGCAACTTTCTTCAATCATTCCCCTAAATTAGAAACCAATACCACAACCACATTCATGGAGGGCTAACTGGCAAAGCAAAGGTTTTCTAGTTCCAATAATTTGTTCTAACATATTCAATATTAGATGAAGATAGGCAATCTTTAACATAACCCCTCTCAAATATGGTTCAATGACAAATAAAATTGGCAGCTGAAAAATAATGAAGCATCAATCAGTCACAGAACTGCAATATTTTCTCATAAAACCTTTGAAGTTAAAATTACATTGTAGGCACTCGTGATGAAAGGGCATACAAAAGGTAGGAAGTATCAGTATGGTTATCTGTTACTGAACAGAGAGCATTAGCTATTTTGTTCAACACAGATGCTATTTTTTATTTTTTTGTGGGATCTTTGCTACAAATTTTGTTAATTTAAAAGTACAAAGTTCCCTTTACTTTATAATTAAAACAACAATGATGATGCCGTCTGGTGTTGTAGCATCAGTGTGTTGACCTTACTTGTTTCTCTATTCACATACTGAAGGGAGATGGTCATCCTTTACCTCCCAGAGTTCAAATGCAATGTCTATCAATATTTAATTAATTAATCTTGTCCGTCTAATCACAATTTAAAATTTAAAATCAAGATAGTTAAAATACCATGTGATGCTCCTTATCGAAACATTCGATTTACATTTGGAACATCACTTTCTCACTACATGTTTCGGTTCTTACATGAACCATCTTCAGGTGTGTAAAAATTACAATTATATAAACTTAAAACTTAATCATAATTTCTTATATGCAACTTCTTTGTAGTTGTTTATCAGTTATTAGTGGTGTTCACTTCCAGATTCCATTTTAATATATTTGAAGTTGTTCTATATATGTGCGTCGTGTTCAAATAAACTTTTAGGTTGGTGAATGTTTTTGTTGATGTTTTTATATCAGTCTGAGATGAGAGGTGTAGATGAGTTCCGACTGTCTGGAAGTACTATCGTATTAACTATCTTAATTTTAAATTTTAAATTGTGATTAGACGGACAAGATTAATTAATTAAATATATATTTTCACAATATGACGCAACTCTATCATCTATCAATATTATTTAAAATATGAAAACTTTGCCAAATTCCACCTCAATCAGATGCCTGAAATTAAGAAATTATGGAGAAAGGTAATTCCTCTTATGTTAATCCTGTTTTGTATGACTGAATTTTTCTAGTAAGACTTAACCAAAAATGAAAAGAATTCTGAGGGATGTACTCTGAAAATATTTTCAAAAACAAAATTTATTGAAGAAGGTTTTAAGGTGTTGCCTTCCACATTGAAATACACCTGAGCTGTTCACCCTCAAACTTGTCATATTTAGATGGT